AAAGATAAGGATATCCTAATAAATTAATATTTTTTCATTGAAGATTTTAGAATCATTTAGTGGCTAAAATGGTGAATTAATTTTAATCCATGATCGTTTAAGTTACATTTATTTTAAATTTTTATACAAATACGTTTTAATTAAGAATCAATAGTTTGTAATATTTTTTTTAGATTCAAGGATATTTCGAGGTTCTAATAGTAATTAAATAGAATCCAGATTTATTTATACTTACTTTTATCTCTATTTGTGGTTCTTGTCTTGCCGACTTTAAGTAATAATAATTGTTGTCAATAAATGTGCTGGAAATTCTAACTAAAGTTATCATTCTCTTTAAAAATTGTATTTAAAATGTATACTAGCATTATGGTCTCTATAGAGAATGTACTATCACTGATCTAGTTGAATGTCGGAGAAACTCGCAGAGAACCAATTGAGGATGTAATTGACTGTGACTTTCGTAGTCCACTTCAGAGGAAAATAGTATCTTATTCGCAAAAAAACAGAAAAGCTTAAAATAGGATAAATTGAACGTTTTAATTTACAGTGATTATGCCGAAAATGTTTTATTGCGCACGTAAAATTAAATATTATTTATAAAATTCCTACAACTAGACGAATAGAAATTAAGAGCTGAAATTCAACAGAGCTTCACCCTTTTATTAGTGTGGGCTGGATGTGTGGGTTTTGAAAACCCTATATTTTTAATACGATTTTGCATGGCCTTCCTTTACTATAATTAAAATACAAATAAGCAGATTGTTTAAAATCGAATTAAAAATAAAGTATTTTTAAAATCCATACACCAAGCTCTCACTAATAAAAAGGTGAAAAACTCTACTGAATTTCAGCTCTTAATTTCTATTTAACTAGTCGTAGGAATTTTTTAAATATTATCATATATTATTACGTTCGTAATAAATTTTCGAGAATGTTACAATTTGATGAGACTCTTTTTGACTGAATGTATAGACCCAATCATTGTAAATTAAAACTTTCAATTTATCCCATTTCAAGCTTTTCTGTTTCCTTCGACAATGAGGTATTCTGGTCCTTTTCTTAAGCCTGACTCTTATAGGAGGTTTGCGTTAACATTTTGTGGAGCTTGCGATTTTACGCTATTTTTGCTTTAATGAGGATAATCGGCTATTTTTAAGGAATTTCATTTATTTTGCACTTTTTCTATTGATTTTTCTTTTTCTTTAGATAATTATTCTAATTTTGCGGTAAAATAGTAATTTTGAAACACGTTTTCTATCGTTTCTTAGACATAATTACGTTTCTTAAATGATATTTATCACGTTTTAGTTTTGACAGTAGTTGGATGTTATTTGTCCTTGTCCACCGCGTCTTTTTCACATCTATTGTGGGATTTCGTTATTTAGAGTATCATCTTTTTTATTAAACTATTTTTTTCTCCTGGGCTCGTCTGACTATGTCTCCGAATAACAGTGAAGCCTATTGGCTTATTGTGTTTTACCCCATGTTAGTTTATCGCACCCACTCTGTCACCTTTGTACCTTGCACAAGTTTGTACAAGTTTGTACAGATCCTATACGTTGTTGGATTAACCTGGGGTTGTCCAAAAAGAGCCTATCTTTTGCGATCTAGAGCTTCGCATAGTTGGCACATGAGTTCACCATTGTACATGCCAATTTTGTTCAAGTGTCCCTTTACTGGGGCGTGCCCAGTCATGAACCATGTTATCACTTTCAACTGGTTCCAATTAATAAAGAGTAGTTCTCCAGTTCTTTTGGGGGTGTCTTCTCAATAGTTGATATGTTGTTCCCGAATCCAGTCGTCTATGAAACCCCGGACTGTACTTTTTGGTACTCCTGGGTTTGTGTCTGGTTCCGGTGTTTCTTCTGACCCTCTTTTTGCAAGTTCGTCAGCCTTTTCGTTGCCTCCGATCCCTTGGTAACCTAGCATCCAAAATAGTTTTACTTTATTTCGGTGCCAGTATTCTTAGTTCTTCGATGCATTCCCATACCAGCCTCGACGTAACTTTCTGACTCGATATTGCCTTAAGTGCCGCTTGGCTCTCTGACATTATTTGAATATGCTGATTTTCGACAGCTCTTTCTTTGTTCGTTTTTGCACATTGCAAAATTACGTATACCTCGACCTGAAATACCGAGGAATGTATTCCTATAGCATAGCTATGGTTAGTATCAGAGTTTTTGGAGAATACTCCCGCCCCAGTGCCTTCTGCAGTCTTAGACCCGTCTGTATACCAGGTTTGTTCCTGTCGTTGGGTATTGGGCTCCCTTATGGTGATCTCCGCTTTTTCCTGTATTAAAACCTCAAATGAAGTATTAAAAGAGTACCTCTTGGTTATGTGGTCTGATCGCATGTCTAGCACGTCCTGTCACTAACCTTGACATACTCATGTGACCTGGCCTAATGTCAAGATTTCCCAGTGTACTCCCTAATCTGTAAGCACCTAATCTTGCCTCCCCTTGTATCACATAGTGACGAAGTGAGAGTCCTATTAGTGCTTCCATTGCAGCAGTGGGGGTTGTTTTGCTTGCCTTTTATTAAACTTAGTAGCGTTGATAGTGGCTCTCGCATGTAGTTACATACATATGGCTTTTCTTCGCCTAGTCTTAGAAATCTTAATCTGGCCAGGCTTTTACACTGTCACAGAAGGTGGACTGATGTTTCCTCTGCTTCTTCACAGAACCTGCACAATGTTGCTTCTTCTACCGGATTTGTGACACTCGTGTATCTTTTTAGGAGACAGTGTCTGGTAAGAAAATATACACTGTTATCCTAACGATTTGTAGTTTTTGACTTAGTAGTATTTTTATGAACTTGGGTGACGGTTCCTTAATGAACTCTTTGTCCTGTCTTAATCATGGATAGTTGTTCAACCATTCCTGGCACTCTTTTTGCATCTATTGTTTGATGCCTTAGCAACTCTACAGAAGGGTTCGGAGCCTGACATGGCCTTAGCCCAGCCTTCTCGGTTTAGTTCGTCGGCTTGTTCATTGCTCATGGCCTGGTACCCAGGGTAGGGTTATTTTGTTTTGACTGTCTTCTAGACAGTCTTTCACCAGTCGTCATTTGATTTCTGGTGAGATAATTGCCTTTAGAGCTGTTTGGCTATCAAAGTATCTGATAGTAATACTCTTTTCTCACGTATAATGTTCACCTTTCTGCTATTTCTCCAATTCCCGGTATCCTTGGTACATATTCCCACTAATTTTCTATCTTTTCACTTCGATATCAAGTGAGATTATTTATTAGGAAGAGATAGAAAAATATAAAACTCTGTTGGAGCAAAATCAGAAGGATAGAGTGTATGTCAAATAATCTCTCGAACTCTTGTCTCTTACGTTGCAAGAAAAAATTACAAAAACAGTACACCCCATTAAAATTGTATGGGGTTTATGATCCCCTAAACCCCCAAACTGTTTTATACTTCAGAAATAGGTTATTCTTGAGCTATCATTGGCTTAACATTTTCATTTTTAAACTTTTTTGTCCTTAGTACTTTTTCGTAAGATGATTTTTTTTTCGAATTACTTTTTTAATGTGTAGTCGCCAAAAAATTGAAACCTGCAAAATTATTGAAATTATTTATTACCAAAAGTAAGAAGATGTCGTGTATTTTTAAAAATTAAGAAGGCAGCAGTTCTTACAAAACGAAGTGCCAGACTACTTCTAAGACAAATTTTGTATTCAGAAGTACAACTATTTCTTTGCCACCGAAAGGTCCAGATCTAAACCCTTCTTGAATTATGATGAGAAGTATAATCTGTAAAAGAACTGGACCAACAACAATTGAGGAATAGAATCATTGGAGCTGCAAATAAATTTAAGCAGAAACCATTTATTTTCCCAAATATTCTATTTTCTATAAGGTGTATTAGATTTAATTAGGACTGTGGGCCATTTAACCTCGCCCACTTCGATCTTTTCAGATCTTTTGTGAATATCCTTTAATCGTTGTTTATAGTTTAGTTCGGTCTTTTGTAGTAGACTCTAGAGATTAGAAAGCAGTTTTCCGACGTAGCTAGTTGCCCCTGGTTTTCTTCTCCAAGTATAAGAAATGTCAGTCTTGATACACCTTCGCACGTAAACTGCAGTTTCCTCCTTTCCTAACAGAATCGGTATCTTCTGTCAGGCCGATATTATGCATATATTTGTTAAGCCTACAATGCCCTGGTAAAAGACCTACTAATACTCTAGTATTTTTCCTATAATAGCTTAGTAGATAGATGTTTGGTAAGTTTTGGCGATGGTCCTGTTAAGACCTCTTTGGCCTGTCTCTGTCCTGGTGAATTTTTCCACCATTTCTCAGATTTTTTAAACATCCTCTGTTTTGTGCATGTTCTGATAGTTATCTTTGTGACACCACAGAAGGGTTCTGAGCCAATAAGATCCTTTGAGGTGTAAAACGTGCATAAAAGAAAACAAATCCATATATATATGAAAACAAAAAATGCTACGATCTGATATATTTAATATTTAATGTATTCGTGTCCTTCAATTTAAATTTGTTTAACAAAAAGTTTTAGAATTTCATGGATATAAAAGTGTACTCGACCGAGGTCATGTTAAAGCTCGTTTTTCATATAACTAAATTATGGGTTTTTATTATCATTCCAGCGATTCGAAAGGTTATCACAGTATTTACTTACATAATTATTCAGTATATCATTGATTTCATTTAGTAATCAACTAAAAATAGAATACTAACTTAGTACCTTTATTGTAAAATATTTTTTATGATTGTTATAAAATTTAAAACATTTAACAAGGATTAAATCTGATTTTTAATAAAAAACAATACCTAGTAAAACCGTATTGCGATGGAGTATATTTTTATTTGTTTTTAATACTTTTTGAACTGATACAAAATGGCGCTCAAAATAATTGTTAGAATAACCAAAAAATTCCACGTATTAATTTTTTGCGCAAAAAATAATTCGAAACTATTTTTAATGCTTTCATAACGAATTTTAAGAATGCATAATAATTGGCATTATTTTTAGAATGGAGAAAAGCGGTAACCCACCACCTTACGCACCACCATACGGCGGCGCACCACAATACGGTGGACCTCAACCTGGTTTCCAACCACCACCCCCTGGACCACCACATCATGAACCGCAACAGACAGGTAAATAAAAAATTGGCCTTGGTGTATCTTTTTTTTAAATTTATATAGGGATCTGACAGTACCATCAGTTAAAAACCAGGACTAATTACCATAGAAATAGTATAGAAAGCCGATTCCATATATCAAAAATGAAACCATAAGGAGAAAATAGTGTGTCGGAGCTCATGCGTATAACGGTGCTGGCGCGAACAGGACCGGTGCAAGTTTTTTATTGATCGAACAAATAGTTCACACGATATTTCAATAATACATTTTTAGAGATGATTCTATACAAAAAACGATTAAAAAAATTTCAAGTTAAGGTAAATATGGTCCTTATTAAGAAAGATATGGCATAAAATATGAATTAGTTAATTTTCGGCAATCATTAGTACAGTAGTCATGAGATTTTGCTTGTGATTTTAAAAATACTTTCCAGAAAAACCACGTGCTCCGGTTTTGACTACGTTTATTATTAAACAGCGAAATGATATACAAAAACTTTAATCCACAATCTAAATTAGGTACTATCACAAGAAAATCACTGTTACAATAATTAATTACTTAACCAAAAACTAAAATACTTTTTAGGTACCTACGTAACCAGAAAGGAGCTGGACCATTTATCCTAATATTGATTTTCTCTCTCCCTACGGTAAAACTTAAAACAATAACAAATTGCCTATCTACTAGGGTCGGTAACTAAACGTATATACATAATGGGCGGATTTTGTTTATACTTAACATTACACTCGCGCATTTAAATATAACTATGTATATAAATATTTACAAATAAAGATACTTTTCCAAACAGGCAATCATTAGTACTGTAGTCACGAGATTTTGCTTGTGATTTGACATCTTATTTGATAATATCATTTGCTACAACTAAATTTAATCTGGGGAGTGCAAAATAGGGCCCAGGAATATTATGTTCGATATTTTTTTACATTTTGTCAGCCGAGACTATGAGTCGTAAAAAATACTACTACATTTACTTGGTACATATTTTATTTTAATTTTGAACCCTTTTAAAAGGGTCTTTCGGTTCCATAATAAAAATTAGTTGCTGCTTACTAGAAACATTCTATATAGCCTAAACCAATTTATAGTTTGTTTTCGATCAATTTAATACAAAGATTTAAAGTTTTTAGTCGATGATAACATTCCACACCAGCACATTGCAAACCTATTTTATAAATAATAGGAATAAACTTGTAAATCATTAATTTGGTAGTTATCTCACTCATATGATTTTTTTGTTTATATGACTATTTCGATTTCTAAATATATTTTGGCCTTACAATACGAAGCGTTTTGCGTTTTGTATCTACCACTTCTTTAATGAACGATGAATGTTGACAGGCGTGTACCTTTTACGGAACAAGAGGCGTTTTAACGAAGGAAATGATTTTCGAACTATCTAGTTAGTTTTCGGAAAAATAGAAAACGTTTGAATAAAGTTGTCAATAACAGTTTGTCGTTCATGTGTTTCATTTTGATCAGCTTTCATACTAAATTGCGTAGAATATTTTTCCGATTCAAAATCGAGATTCTCGATATTTCCACAGTTTATTTATAATACCTTCTAAACTGGATTTATTTATCATTTTATATACTTTATAATATATGTTCATGCCCTACTTTTCACTTTATTAACAATTTTTTTTAACATACTTCAAAATGGTAGGATATTCTCAATTCGTTGAAATATTTTTTTATGTATGTTGATTGATAATTCTTTACCACGTTGCCCGATTTCTAGGATTCTTTTTGTTAGAAAAGGAAACAGTTTTATATACATTAAGTCAAGATCTGAAGATGGGATCCATAAGAAAATCATTAACATCTTTATTTTTAAAGTAGGTTATTTTTTTAATTTCTTTAAACCTTACTGGTTCGAACGCGGTAAGGAATGAAGAAATGTAAATAATTGTTGTGTCAGCCAAAAAGCGAAGAGGAAGTACCGATTAAAATATCGAGTGACAGAAGAGTTCCTAAGATTATTGAGATCGGGTTTATGTTTTAAAATGCCTTAAAACCGATATCGATAATGTCTCCCCGTCGCTGGGCAGCCTGTATTTATAAATATACAGCTCTCTATTTACATAATTATAATTGTTAGGTAGGTTTAGATTTGCAGACATAAATCTTGTAATAAATATAACAGCTGCCTAATACATTGATTACATTTTCATTAGCCAATGTAAAAATGTCTTTTATTGTACCTAGGATTTGACTAAACACTACACAAAACTAAAAATAAAATGCCACTTTCATCGTGTAATTAATGCCGCGTTTGAGAATCCACATCGGATGCATTTTTTACATCTCGAGCGTTTTTTATCCACATCGGACACATCTGTCCCATTACATTTGCGTATACTGAATCATGTGATCAAAGATTTACTACTTACTACATCTCAGATGCATCCGATGTGGATTCTCAAACGCGGCATAAATAATAAACTACAAACGGTCCTGTAAGGGCAGCGTCATATAGCCTTGAAACACCGGATTTTAGTGCTATTGCCAGGTCAATATTGAATTTGTAGGTGAATCGCTTATTGAACATTAAAAATACGGTATTAATGACATTAATACGGTATTTGTATATATTTTTGGGAATGTAATTACACATAAATATTATTAGTTGATTATTTAAATGTTTATAAGTTATTTTGTGGCGATATTTCAGACATATAAACTGTTTAAATCATATAATTTAAAAATTAATTAATTTATAATTCTTTTCTGTTAGGTATGTTCAATATATTTGGCAACACTACAGGGACAAGTCATGCATATTGCACAAGCTTCTAGACACACTATTTTGCGATGTCAGGCGCAGAGACGCGTTTTTATGCACAGTAGGTTTCAATTTCTGCTTAAATGTTATGTTTATATTGGTCTTCTATATTATTTCTATGCTAATTACTCATTTATACATTATATTAGTATGACCTTGAGTAGATACCTACATTTCGAGTAACATTTTCACAGAAAACAGCTGCATGTTTTTAAAGTTATTATTTCTTACAAGTTAATTAAAAAAAAAAACACTTGCATAAATGATAGGTACCTACGGCTGATAAAACATAAAAATAAGGTTTGCTTTGCTTAGTAAACATACCGTCTAATTCACAAACAAAGCATTTTCAAATAGTTACCTATGTAAATCGTTATAGAGATAAAAACGTCCAGTGGTGGCTCGTGGGTTTTAATTATTAATTGCCTCATTTTGATTCGGAACCTAAGAGATTGTTATTAGAGAAAGCGTATAGTCTAGATCAGTGTTTCCTTCCTCTTAGTGACTTCTAAAAAAAAAAGGTCCTCAAGACAGGTCCCTCCCTTTTGTGGCGATAGTACTACTGCTTCTTTTGACTAACACTGGTCTAGATCTTACGGATCTTCTTTCTGAACCATTAAACCGATGAGATTTCTCGTTTATTTCGTTTTAAAGTTTCTGTATAGGTAAGACCTCTTGTCTTCAGCTGATGAAACAATTCACTTAAGGAAAACCAGTTCTCGACAGTGACATTTATAATATGCTTTACTAAATGCAAAGCTGCTTGGGTAAACACCAATAGTTTTTTCTTCCTGAAGGGAGTAAATTAAATACTTTACTGTATCTCTGTATAATGAATAACTAATTCCACAAACTATAAACCATTTACAAAATAAGTATCGATAATAATGTAATATAATCTTTTTCGTTTATCTTCCCTTGTCCCGAAATCAACTAAACCTTTTTTGATGATAAAGAATGAATAACAGTGATTCATCGCGTTACAAATATTCATCCATCATTGGTATTGACAGCTACCCTTCCAGCTACCTATTCATTAGAAGAAAAAAAATAATCTGAAAAGTTTTTTGCTCAGAATTTCCCTCGATATAGAAATTGTAAAAACAGGATACTCTTAAGCACTTACATTTTAACAATTTAAAATTAAAACCACCAAACTAAAAACCCATTTTTATCTTGCTCTCTCCATCAATATTCCTCTTAATCCATCCCGAACTCTCACTTTGCGTTCGCCCAGTGCTTTTATTCACGTTCACCGTTATGCTTTTAAACTGGTCCAGTTACACAAACCAAAAGGATACTTTTTATTATTTCCATTCATGTTGGGACCTTTTTTTATTAAATATGATTCCTTTGAACGTCATTTTGAATTTTTAAAAACTTATTTAGGATCTGTTATCTTTGACTTCTAAAATACTCAGATACCAATTTTAGTCGAAATCTGCCAACTTTAAAAAAGTTTTTTTAACTGCTCAACCCTGTATATAACCGACCGGAAGTGTAACTAGTTTTGAGCCAGAAAGGAGCCGTACTTGCATACAAAATTTGAAGAATTTCTCTAAAGCCGTTTTTGAGATATCGCGTCAACAGACAAACGAAGACAGACAGACCGATGTAATGGGGAAACATGTTTTTCGTAATCTAGGGACCCTGAAACCTGAAGATCTGAAATAATCTCGGAAGGTGGCTTTTTCACGATTACAATACTTCCCTCTTATCGAGGGAAGTAATAAGAATAAGGATAGTAAGATTTTTAATTAAGTTTATCAATAATAAACGTTAGGTACCTAAAATTTTCTTTAAACCACATAATAAAATATGTCCTGCATTTTGTAAATAAATATTTCTAGACGTTTGCGTGACATCCAGATGGGTGAAGATTTCCAACAAATTAGTCATAAACACATGATAAATATTATATTTATGACGAAAGCACGGAAACTAAACTTAAATTAACCCTAAATGAAACTCAAAAACAATATTACAATGATAATATCTAAAAACAGTTAAAAAACGCAAATTCAAAATCCCGCCCAAAACAAGCACATTGTAAATAAACAAAAAGGTATTTTTCGCGACATAAACGGATTATGTTGTTCGATCATGTTCGTCTATCCCCCCACCACATATAGTATATGTTGACGCGAAAATGGAAAATCCATGCTGTTTTGAAAGTGGGCAGTGAGTTGAAGTAACAATTTTTTATTACTTC